TGTTACCTAACTCACTAGTTTATTTGAGAATTAAGTGAATTCATACAAATAAAGCATTTAGACTCTAAATAATCAATAAGCATTAGTATAATGATTAGTTTTATGTCTCCACGTAGCTAGTCTATAGTGGCCAGTTGTTTGGTCAAGCACCAGTCTAGATGGTGCTGTAAAGGTGTTTCTTAGATGTGATTAACATTTAAGTCAGTAGTGAGGAAAGCAGGTTACCCTCCATAGTGTGGGTGGGCCTCGATCGATCAGTTGAAGGCCTTATGAACAAAGATTAAAGTGTCTGGAAAAAAAAAAGAAAGAAAAAAATTCTCCTCAAGACTGCAAGATCTGAAACTTAAGATGGCAATACCAACTCTCGCCTGAGACTCAAGTTCTACAAATTTCAGACTTGGCATCTTCTCTCTCTGTCTCTCTGTCTCTCTGTCTCTCTCTCTCTCTCTCTCTCTCTCTCTCTCTCTCTCTCTCTCTTTCTCTCTCTGTATATATATATATAGATAGATAGATAGATAGATAGATAGATAGATAGATAGATATAGATATAGATATAGATATGTATATATACTCATCTAACATCATGTCCAATACAGGGATCTATCTATCTGCCTACCCATCTATCTCCTATTGGTTCTGTTTCCATTGAGAACACTGACTAACATGGTTAGTGTTATATTAAGAGGACTGATAGTAAAATATCTTAGCAATTTGACCTTGATTCTTGATGATCAAATTAGCGGGGTGTTTCTAGCATCCTAATGATTAAAAGGAAGCCTTTCCCCAAACAGAACAAAAGCAACGGGATAAAGTAAGGGAACAGTTCTTCACCAACTTGTTTCAAAGTAGATTTTTTTACTTAACAAGGTTTTATGGCTGAAACACTACTCTCTTCTCCCCCTTCATTTCTAAAGAGATAGATCTATTAGGCTAGGTGCTGATGGGAGGGTCTAAAAAGACTTTATGTGCACCTGATAACAAGGTAGAGACTTCAGAAAACTCTTACACTGAAGAGACTCCCTGATCTGCTGAGAGGATGCTTCGGTACCGGTACCGACCATATCTCCATCAGCCCTCTGCTCCTGGCTCACCCCATCTCAGAAAGGGCCCCTTGTACTTTAGCCCTCACCGTGGCCAATGCACAGGACTCAGAGGGGAAAACTGCCCAGGGCCCGTAGAGGGGGCCTACAAATCTCATCTAAAGCCCCTAATGGTCTCATTGCTGCCTTTTCAATTTCTGAACAGAGAATTTTATCTGCCTTCTAAACACCACATATCCTGTCACCATGATTTAACTATGGCATTAAGTGGGATTCTAATAGAATCAAGTCAAGAAAAAAGAGTCTTTTTTAATATATGTGAGGATCATTTGTAACTGGCGGAGTTAGCAAATTAAATGCATTTATTCTGCTTGATAAAATAATAATTACCATTCCATGTGCTTGCTATGTACCAACTACTGTTCTAAGTAATGTACATGTAACTTGCTTAACGATCACAACGCTATGAAGTAGAGTTTTACTCCCTAGAAAGAGGAAAAATCTAAGGTACAAGTATGTTGTACAAATTTTCCAGTTATTCTACTAGTAAGTAATACAACAAGGATTCAAAAAGTTTGTGCTTTTAACCACGTACACCTTGCTACCCCCTCAAAAACTCCAAAGAGATTCAAAGGGCTGTTTCAACTAGGTATGATAGGCATGCACCCATGGTTTTTGGTATTAGTAACCTTCACGTTCTAATACTGAAATTGGTGTTAAATTTCCACATCTGTGCTCTGATCCCTCTCTCAAGCCCTACGTAATTACACAGCAGATTGTTTACTTAGAAATGTGACCATCCATTCTGCTTTTACTACCTGTGAATCCCTGAAAAGTCAATGTTAACATCTATTGTCACTGGGTGAAAAATTTATGTTCCGAAGACTTTCTTACTCTCATCTTCAACCATTTCTGAGAATCTGTCATGCTGGCTCTTGGGAGTATGTTCTTTGTCTACACGCTCTTCTCTCACCTCGAGTCTCACCTGTACTTTCACCTCTCTGTGTATCTCTTCTGCTTACTTCTGGTTCTCAGGATCATGTCTGAGCCCAAACACCAGTCACATATGTACACAGGGTAAACAAGTGGGTTACTGTGCTGTTCTCACCCCTACTTCCCTCCTCAAAAGAACACCCCCCCCAACATGATTCCGGATTCTTCGGGTGCAGAATCTTAGTAGGCAGCAGCAGAAATTGAGGAGGACCAGGAAGGGGCAGAAGAGCAGTCACAGAGTGGAACATCTTACCACTGGAGGTAGAAACACATGATCAGGACGTCTAAGCCCTGAAAACCAATGGTCCTCCATTGATTTGGTTCACACAGGGAACTACTATAGAGCAATGCTTAAAGGTCTGGGCACCAGGGTCAAAGTGTGTAGTTTGGAATCCCAGTGCTGCCAATTACCAGATATGACCCTGGGTAAGTGATTTGAGAGGTCAAGTCTCTTTTGTCTGAGGGTCTAGAGTAGGTTTTTCTACTCAACAGGCCAGGGCATTTGCCACCATATAGTCAGCCTTTCTAGGGACTTCTTGGACCCAGTGCTGCCCCTATTGTTTTTGCTTCATATATGAAAGGCCAATGTGTGTAAGTTGTTTTTCCTCTTCATGGAGAGGATGGATTTCCTTGGTGGATTTATGCTGAGCCATTATCTCACCTATCTGCTCTTAGAAAAACACAGAAAACTAGACAGGATTAGAGATGCCAGAGATGGGCCTGGATCACAGCAGAGTAAACAGCACCCACCGCAACCTCATAAACACGGCTGTGGGCAATGAGGTAATCAGCCTCACAGAGACCTGGAAAAAAAAAAAAAAAGAAAACACAGGGCCATACTGACCACGGGATTCATCCCTCCAATTCCCGCCAACTGTAGGTTGATAGAAACAGATGCTAAATGTAGATGAAAAAGGCCTATGCACAAGTACATTAATTGGACTCAAATCTCGTCTTCATTGATCCAATCTGAACAACTAAGAAAAAAAATTAATAGTTTTAATTCTGAATCGACTGGAACCAAAAAGATAAGATGATATGATTCACATGGGCGTGGCCTAGGCCTACAGCAAATTCTAGGAACCTCCTCTGAGCTAAGTAATCCTGGGGAATAAATAAAGCAAATGTGATTGATACCGCTTCATCCACACTCACAGGTGCCCACAGAGCATCCCTCAGGACCTAAAAGGAATTCCTGACTGTGGGCCCAGACACAGGGGGCTCACCCTGGACATGGCCCTGCCCTACAGAGCAGACTTAGAGCCTTCCTGGCTGGGGTCCAGGGAGGCTTTCGGAAACACAGCACTAACTTATTTCAAACTTGCTTACCCCTAAATTAAAGCTCTCTATCCATCTTCTGTGTTACCCTTTTCATTGCTAGTCCCCAATTTTTTTCTGCAGAGATTTGTCCTTCAAATGTACACTTTCAAAAAGGTATCTGGAGATAGGTGGAAGTGAGGGTTTGGGGTTTTGCTTTTTTTTTAATAGACTTCTTTTAAGGAAAACTTTAGATTAACAAAATTGAGCAAAAGATACAGAGATTCCCATACTATCTGCCCCCAATATCCATGGCCACCCTGATTATCAACATCCCCCAAGTGATAGAGTTTTTTCATTCTTCTCATTCATACTCAGAAGTTTTCTACTGTTCCCTCCTTGACACAAGCTGGCAGCCCCCATAGTAAATATTGGGGCAGATCTTCTCTTCCTTACCATGTTTATTTCTGCCTCTGAGGTGCTTCTGTTTTTACCAAAACCACAGAAGTTTCTCCTCCCACCGTGCTCACACCACACACAAGAAGCAGTTGGGAAAACATGTTAATTATTCCAAACCACAGCACCATTTAACGACAGGGAAGGAAGCTTTAGAGACCCAGAGAGTAAAACAAAAGTCTCAACTAGATTAAAACCTGAGGGTGTGGCCATAGCCAGTCACTGCAAAACCAGCGCCAGAACCCAGACTTCCTAAATCCTAGCCCAGTGCTCTTTCTACTGGGTTAAGACTTTTTAGATGCCCTTGCCTTTGATGAATAGCATCTGATAACTCATTAATGAAACACCCCTTGAGGGTCGGGGGACCCACTGTCCTGGTCCCTCTGATAATGAATCGCTGCTCTAAAACAAACTGCTGAGGGGATGAGGCTGGTGTGTGTGTGTGTGTGTGTGTGTGTGTGTGTGTGTGTGTGTGTGTGTGTGTGTGTAGGATTGGGGAGGGGAGGTTGCATTTTCATAGCAATGATAATTGAGTCAAGGGCACATATTTGGGTTCAAATGTAGCAGAAAGCAGAGTGGGCTGGGAGCCAAGTGCTGGATAGGGTACTCACTTGCTGTGTGATCTTATGCAAGTCGTATTTCCTCTTTGGGTCTCAGCTTCCTAATCTATGAAGTGTACCGATTTCTTACCACCCTTGTAGAAATACATGATTCTAGAAGAAACTATTAAGGCAAGAAGGAGAACAGGGAGGAAGCTGAACGAAAGGGAGGGAATTGTGTGTGTGGGGGGGAGAGGGGAGGTGTGTGTGGGGGGGTTGAGATAGATAGACAATGCCTGTTAATAAGACAGTGAAAAAAAGTTGAAAATGAAACTGTGGGTCCCTTGAGAGCTCCATTTTTCATCTTTATGCATTTTTAGTGTTTACACATAATAGTAAATTTGGGGGAAATAAAGACTGGATGAATGGAAAATCTGAGAAGGCTAACTAGAGAAAAAAAAGAGCGAGGGGAGAAATGAGAGGGAGTGGGCACGGGAGCACTTTTAGTACCTACCTGACCCTCTCCAGGTTGCCCCCACATCGCGGGCGGGACCTCCCGGCCAAGGGAGCGGTGGCCCATCAGCGCTGGAGCGGAGGCTCCCTCCCGTTTCCCCAGCGAGCAGCCCCGAAACCGCCAGGGGGTGCTGCGTGGAGGCCGGCCCTCGCGGGGGGCGGAGCTGCTTTAAATTGCGGCGCCCTGCAGGTTGGCGTTTCAGTCTCGGAGCCTGGGAGCCGCTGCGGCTTCTCACACTCGGACTTCAGCGCCGACCCAGACCCGGACTTAGATCCTTTGCAGCGACTTCTCAGGAAGCAAAGCTCCGGGCAACAACCTCCTCCACGCGGCTCCGCCACCCCCAGGAGCCCCGGCTGCGCCCCTGCAATCTCCGCCCGCTGCACCTGCCACCACTGAGCGAGCCCAGGCGCCCGAAGTGAGCTATGGCCAACGCGGGGCTGCAACTGCTGGGCTTCATCCTGGCCTTCCTGGGCTGGATTGGAGCCATCGTCAGTACGGCGATGCCCCAATGGAAGACTCACTCCTATGCGGGCGACAACATCGTGACGGCCCAGTCCATCTACGAGGGGCTGTGGATGTCCTGCGTGTCACAGAGCACAGGGCAAATCCAGTGCAAAGTCTTCGACTCCTTGCTGAATCTAAACAGTGAGTGCATTCCCCATCCCCACAGCTGTGACCTGGAGACCCCCACCCCCACCCCCAGGGGTTCCAGTTTTGGGGCAGTGGCATCCAGCCGCCAATTCTGTTCTGTGATTATAAGGTTATCAGTCTTCAGTTGATCAAGTCTTCTCTGATCATGTGGTCTGTCTTGAGGAAATGGAGAAAACCTTGGTTTGGGAAAAGGGAGGCCCAGGCCAAAGCTCTAGTTTTGCCTCTAATTCCCTGGGTAACACTTTTTTCTCCCTTCTAGATGTGGTTTCATCCTAAATTTCGATGAGAGTAGGATGGAGATTGAGAGGTGACCGCCAGACTCCAGCTTGAGTTCTTAGGCCTTTCTTGGACATCCTGACTCTGTGTAACTTGAAGAATGGTAGGGTTTGGACAAGAAAATAGTATGCCTTGAAAAGTTTGGAGCTTGATAGCTTCTTAAGGTTGTAAAATTAAATAGGTAATCTCAAAGTATTAGATAGATTTTTTTTTCTTTTTCCCAATCTATCTTTACTATGATTTTTCATAAAAATTGCATTCCTGCATGGAATATCCGCCAGCATGTACTTACTGTTAAGTTTGAATCTTTTGATTTTTAAGACCCAGCAGGGCGTGGGGAGCCCCCTTTGTGCCCCCTGGCATGGCTCCTTCAGGAAAACTCTTGAGATTTCCCCTGACGGTTCTAACTTTCAAGTCAGGGGGATGCCGGGGAGGCAGGTTTTTAGTGTCATTTTGGAAAGTGAATGTTGGTAGTAGGTGGGAAAAAGGGACGAGAAAAAAAAAGTTTTACATAACCTCCCATCATAGTCTGAAAAAAAAAAAAGATAAAAGAAAATGCCACAAAGTAGACGCAGCTAATGAAAGCAGAGGACAGCTTTGGGAGGAAGTTAGTGAGAGAGAGGGTGGGTCTTTCCCAAGTTTCCACATTCCACAAAGGGTTTTCTGTGTAATGGATGTTCGCATCTTTCAAGTTGGAAAGGATTATGGAGACTGCAGTATTCCTAAGGATATTGGGGAGAGGAACGACAGGATGGCTTTTTTTCCCTTTACAAATTTTTTTTTTAATAGAAGCTTTTGAGTGCCTTGTCAGAAACTTCTTAAATTCCCACTTACTTAGGTAATAACAATTCATGGCTGGAGTCTCTTCCTTGAGATATTACATTAGTTGTCATGCAGCTTGTGTCTGTTTATGCCCTTGAACTACCTTAAGAAAAGAGTCCTTAGTCTTTGCCTAGATAAACAAGCCAGCCCACCGGCCCCTGTATGGGCAGAGGGTGACTATGTTGTCATCGCTCCAGTTTACTTCAAATACTTTGTTCACCTCCCACATGGGGTTTTGTCAAAAGCCGTATGCTTTAGAGTTATTAAATCTGTTCTGAATCTGCTTAAACCCTTGGAACACCTGTGGAATTTGGTTAGTCAGAGTGCGTGATGGTCTTGAGTATTGTCGTTTTAGCTTTTCAAAGTTCCCATATTAGCATTCCTTTACACCAAATATAAGGAGTACATTAGGTATACTCCTTTATATAAACATTGAGTCCCCCCATGGAAAAATAAATACAAGGAAATGGTGTCAGGTATTTCGGGTGTCATGTTGAGGAATTGGCAGATGAAGGTTCTAAGGGCAATTCTAGAGTTCTTTGGTTCTTCTGATCAAAATAGTTCATTTTCAGCATGTTTAAATGTGCGTCCTTTTGACTTCTTTAGTTGACCAATGGAATCAGATTGCATCATGTTGTAAGTACTCAGGTCAGCTTGACACATGATAATGTGTTAAAGTATTTTATGTTCATTTATTCCTTGCTAATATGGCTGTCACAGCCTTTGAAGTTGCAGTAGAAGAATTAAACAATATCTTCCCCCTCTCCCCATACACATTTTTGAGATTTCTGCCTGATGAATATATATATTTTTAAACTCCAGATCAGATTCTTCTGTTCTTTTTGGTTAACCCAGAGATTACTGAAGGTGGGGCTGAGTCCTCTCTCAGAGCTGATTCCCAGAAAAGGGAGCCTTGACTCACGAGCACTCTCCCCAACCTGCCAGTGACTCACTGGATGCCTTTGGATGGAGCCATAGAGCCTGTTTCTGTTTTTCCACCTGAGTAGTGATGCTCACGCCCACCTGATGTACAGACCTGGGGTGGTGATTCACTGGGCTGGTTTGCTGTAGTTCTGTGACCTCTACAGGTGAACAGGGTTACCTGTATATATAATATAAGTAGTGTTCCTTGTAAAAGGTTGTATTCCTCGAAGTGTTTTTAGGTAAAAAGCTCGGCGAGAAGTTTCCTGAAATTGGACCTTGTTCTCTTTGCCAGTGGAGCCCACCTGGCATCTTAGGGTCGAGACACAGGGATTTATCAAGGTTTTAGTGCTAGACCTGTTAAGAGCCCTTGTTCTGCTGCTCTCAATAGTGTCAACTGTGAAAGCCATAACTCCATAAGTATCTAAAGGGATACAGTGTGCTTGACCAACCTAGGAAATGAGATACAGCAGGGGCTTTTTAGGTGCTTCTTGCAAAGCGAAAACGTAACAGAAACTTCCTGGGGAAACAAATGTTGCGCTGTGCGTTATGGTTTCACTGTGGCTGACACAATTTCAATTCCATCCAAAGTATGTGATGTTTATTGACACTGATGACTGTTTCAGCTGAAAGTTGGAATTTACAAAGGAGAGTGGCAGATACAGTTACAGTAGATTCTTCCGGATTCCGCTGGACACTTAGACGTGTTTTGATCCAGTTCTCACACTTTTGACAAACTAGTGGCAGTTTTATGTGCTTAGTTAATTTCTTCTTCTTGCTTGGCTTTAATAGCTAGAGCTGTCCAAAGACTGGGCTTCCCTGGGAGGTTGCATGGTGGGTGGTGTACAAGTAGAGAAATAAGTAAGCATTTTGTAGGAATGTTATAGGGAAAAATCCAAACACCAGACAAATGGGAGGTTAGGCTAGACTTTCTAAGTCACATCCCACATTGGAATTCTGTAATTTGTTTATAAGCTCCTCTAGCCTGTTAAACTTGCTTTGCATGAATCTACATGTGTGTAGGAGTTCTTAATGAGTATTGTCAGTGAGGTTTCTCAGCACTCTCACCAGCATGTCAGGCTCAATCAAAGAGGCAAAATCACTAACTTGGACAGGCTTTGAAGTGTAGGCAGAGAGGAGGGCACCCACTTATGCTTCCCCAGGCTGCAGTATGCCTGCTGAACCAAGGCTGTTCATAGGACCACTGGTGTTCATATCTGTTTCAAGAATTAGTTCAGACTCTTGGAATGATGGAAGTCAAAACATAAATCCAGGCTTGAGATTAGAAGCTCTCGTTTCTTACCCTGGTTTTGCCCTAACTAGTAATGTGTATAATGGCGAACGACTTGGTCTCTGTAGGCTATAGTTTCCCCACTTATAAAATAGGGCAGAGGGGCAGAGTGGGAGGAACGTGGAGATGAATCCATGGTTCATTTACCCATTCAACAAATGTGAGCTATCCTGTTCCGAGAGATGCAGCTAAGATGATATATAAGAAGTCAATGATGATTCCTTCCAGTGCCAACATTCTTTGTTGCTAACTGCAGCAATTGAAGGGGAAAAGGAAGAGACATATGCATAATTTAAGTTTCATTGATTGGAATGGTGAGTAAGTGGCATAGAGGAAATGTAGAAGCACAAATTTAACCATGAGGCAATTAATCTAAGAAATAAAAAAGAAAGAGAAAGAAGAAGGAAGGAAGGGAGGAAAGGAAGGGAGGGAAGGAAGGAAGGAAGAGAGGAAGGGAGGAAGGGAGGAAGGGAGGGAGGAAGGAAAACTGCTTAGGACATCCTGAAAAGTGGTAAGTCCTGTCTCATCTCAGATCACTTCAGTTTCTGGCTGTGTTGGTATCTGAAGTCACACCCAGTAGCCACCAGCTCAGTCATCAATAAAATGGAAATGCTAACAATGAGGACTCTTGAGAAACTTTGAACTTAAGTAAAAATGAAAAATTTAGCAAGTGAAAAAGCCATGGAAATATAGTTCTGTGATGGCCTGTGATGAGCTCATTTAATTGCAAGGGAGAAGAGAGCATTTTTGTTCTAATCACACAATCTTCATTTCATTCATTTTCCTATTACTTATTAAGCAACTACTGATGCAAAGAGGGACTATGGGAGGATGTAGATATATTTAAAATCTATTTTGTTTATGATATGTAGTACACAGGGTAATAATGTAGTAATATGGCCAGTAAATAGCATGAACAACACCAGGTATTTAAAAGGGATTGTACTTCTTGTACAGTATGACTTTAGAAAATATTCGGGGGGGGGGGGAAATCCACTTACATGTCTATGCTTGTCCTTTCTACACTTATGTTGATTAACCTAACTGGTATATCAGTAACTCCTAACTCATTTTTTGTCTTGTAAGTAGTGAACTTTGTATTTTTTTCAGATAATACTTTCAGGTTGCAAGTAGCAAGAACTCCTTAGGGGGTCTTTAATCTCAAGATTATCAGTCTAGCTAAGTATAATTAAAAGACAGGCTTCTCCACGTATCACTGAATAATGATGAGAAACAATAGTGTAGCTTTTTGAATGTTAGCTAACCGTTTTCTCCACAGAAAACTTTAGTCAGTGATAACAGTATTGTAGAGGTATTTGCAAATAAATGTAAGGGGCCGAGAAAGGAACGCGTTTGCTTCAAGATTTGATCCAAAATGTTATTTTGTAGCTTTCAAATATTTTTCAGCATCTCTGCCCTGTTGCTCATCGTTCCATTAGGAAACTTCATCTTGGAAGCTTATTAGATATATAACTTAAAACTTTAGAAAATTTTGAAAATTTAGATCAGGTTAAACAAAAAGTATGATTTTTTTTTCTGTGTGTGTGTATTACTAGATTTTAATGATATAAACTTGTCCTGGTTTTATGTAGCAAGATTTTAGCTGCATCCCCAGGCTCTCTACGGAGGCATTTCTCAGTATTTTTTAAAGGTTAAGCTTTACAACCACAGAGTATTTTTACCTATCATATTAGAAATTTTAAAGGATAAAAACATATTCTAATTTAAATTCATTGAACACAGATTGAACAATCTGTGTAGTTTACCAGGTACTGTTCTTAGTGCTTTGGATGGAAATATGAACAAATATCTGACCCAAGCCTTCAAATAGCTCACAATTATATATTTTAGACCTCTGACTTAAAAGGCTTTCCATAAGACCTTAATGTGAAGGATTCATCTGGTTCTAGCTTCACGCTGTGCAATTTAGATTCTATCTGCACATCTAACCCTCATAACTTCTAACACAACACTTGCTTACTTTGATTTGTAATCCTTCATTACATATGCCCAGCCTGTGAGTTTTCATGCTGATTCTCAGCCTTTTTTTTTTCCTTTTTATCTTTAAATTTCCTCTCATATATCACCATAGTTAAGAATTCATCTAAAGGTCTCCAGGAAGGCAAGATGAGATGTTGTATTTGATGCCCATCTAGTATTGTAAAACACAAAGAAATTTCTTAAGTCCATGGATGCCAAGGATTGAAGTGAAAAAAAATATTGCTTTGGAAAATAACACCATTGCTTTATTAGATTTTTAAAAATGAAACATAATCCCCTTGCTCAATAGGGTTTATATGATCCCTAAGTGTTTTTCATTCTCTCCACTACTTTTGTGCATTATACAAACAAGGCATTATTCTGTAAAGAAATAAAACATACTAGCTTTTGTTGCAAACATAGGGAAAAATATGTGTTCCCTCCCCCACAGAAACTTTGTAAAAGAGGTAGAAAGAGTAAAATGGGTATGGCATGAATCAAATATGTTCTCTTTGAGAACTTAAAGGGGAATAAACAACGTTGAAAGCTGTGAATATTCAAAAATTCCAGGGGAGCGCAGATGGAGCCCTGAGGCAGCTCATCCATGTGCTCCCTGCCTGGGTGGTTTGTACAAGCCTGACTCATGAGACTGAGGCCCGATAGACTCTTCCTCGTGAAGAATACCTTGTGATTCAAGTGCTCAGACCTGCTGGGCTGGTGGCCTGCTGTTTTTATGTGAAGTACAGACCAGAATGATGATTATGGAAGCTGGGTTTGGTTTGAGGCCCTACAACTCCAACAAAGTGGAAAAGTTGGAGCGAGATCAGAGAAAGCAACACAATTGATGAATCAAGGGTTGGAAAACTGAGTACTTAGGAGAAAATAAAGTGGGGGCGGCTGAAAGATATGAGGCGATGCGTATTTGAAGGGCTGTCATAGGAAGAATTACTAATCGTGCTCTCTACACCAAGGGTAAAAATCCTGTCACCCTTATTTAAGACCCTCCATACTAGCAGATTACATTTAGAATAAACTCAAAACCCCTTAGCTTAGCTTGCAAAGCCCTGCCTGGTCTATGCCGTCTGACCACCTTGCTAAACCCACCTCATTTGACTTTCCACATCCTATCATCCTTCAGTAGAGTCACCAGCTGTATGTCCAGGATTCAGAGTCTTCTCTGGATGCAGGATTTGTGCTTTTAAAACCAAGACAGTCCCAGCCACATGGACTGGTGGTCACCCTCTTCTCCAGGCACATGGATCATTTGGTGACTTTCCACATCCCCTCAGCCTGCCCTTTGCCTGAAATGATTTCCTACTGAGTGGGATTTAGGAACAAGCCTGAAAAGCTGTGTTGGGTATGAGAGCTTAGTTATTTTAATTTTTCTTTTAGTGATGATTATCTTTCAAAAGTTGTTGGTAAATCAGAAAGAAGGACACTCCCTGACTGTGGAGTCCTTGGTACTTCCCTCTTCATACCGCAGTATGGTGTCTGATTCCAAGGAAGAAGTTCTGCAATAATCTTACAAGCAGCTTCCGTTCCTGATAAACCCATGTTCCACGGAGCACATGCTTTAATTCAGCAGTTGTAACACCACCCTGGAACCTTAAGATAAGTGTGTGGGTAGGTACACCTGTGCCCACGCACACTTACGAGGAGGTGGATATGTGAGGGGACGAGGGAAGTGTCTCTGTTTTGTTTTTTAATTAAATCAAGTAAAAATGTAACTTGACTTCCAAAATGCCTCTCAACTACAGTAAAAAAAAAAACAAACCCAAAAAACATTTGCTACTTCTTAGAAAGATGTTACTATGATTTTATCACAGACTACCTGGTTATGGCAAGGATGGAGATACTAACAAATTAAAATTGACTGATATTTTAGAAATCTTAGTGTTAATTAGGACGATACTGAGACTGAGCCTAGGTCTCAATTATTATAAATAATGAGATAGAAAAGCTTCCCAGCATGTCAGCCTCTTTTGAAGACCATCAAGTAGTCACTTAGCCCAACTCCCTGGTTAGAGAGATTATTATTCACACTTTACATAACAGAAGCATGGTCCCCATGAATAATAAGTAGCTTACTGAAGGTAGCATGGCTGGTTACAGTGTAAATAATGTTTATATATGTGAAAATACTTGTCCCATGTTAGCACTGTCAGTGAGATAATGATCTTTAAGGGAAGGAGGAAATAAATCTAGAAGTAATCAAACTCATCTCAGCAGCATAGTTTCAGCTCCTTTTCTTTGTCTACAGTGCCTGTATGCCACCATGATGGTGTGTTTTCACTTTTTAAGAAACATGCTGGCATGCTCTCTGAAACCTGACTCTATCTGTTTGATCATGACTTAGTACACCAATGACAATAACAGGAAATTAGAAAATGGGTGGAATCCTGAGAAACACTACATTGAATTATTTTTTGCTATTTTACACCATGACAGTTTAAATAGCCTTAAAAACTGGTGCTCTCTCCGAATATGAATCTATAATGTTGTAAAGTAACATTGCAAAGGAGATTTTGTTTTGTTCTAAGAAAATGACATTCATATCGCCCACCTCAACCCCAGTTACCAGAGATATAAATGCTGTTTATTCAGCTATGATAATCTCTGACGAATGTATTTCTTATCTTCCAAATTCATCCATTTTTTTTCTGACGCTTAATGACTGAGATATAAAGCTATTACCAAGCTATATTGTAAACCATTTTAATTATAAATGGTTTAACATTAAGGATAATACATATGATTGTTATTTCAGAATTAAAATACTCCAGTAGTAAGAATTAAAGATGTATTAGTTCTGCTAAACCTATTCAACCAGGCTATTAATTATTTTTCCAGAGGAATTTGAATTTAATGCTGAAAACATAAAATGTTAGAGCTGGAGGGCTTCTTACTCATTGTCCAGCCTGGTGTGTGTTTTTCTGGAGAGAGGAAACTATCTTGGTTACCTGCAGAAATACCACTAGAACTGGGCTCCCCTGACTCCTAGTTCAAGTTTCTTCTTCCATACAATATTGAAGTATACTTGGTCTTCTGCATTCTTCTCCTATTTCTTACATGTTCTAAAATCTTTTCTGCCAGGCACATTGCAAGCAACCCGTGCCTTGATGGTTGTCGGCATCCTGCTGGGACTCATAGCCATCTTTGTGGCCACTGTTGGCATGAAATGTATGAAGTGCCTGGAAGACGATGAGGTCCAGAAGATGCGGATGGCTGTCACGGGGGGCGTAATATTTCTTATTGCAGGTAAGAGAGGCCCCACCCCACCCCCCCTTCCTAACCTGTCTCTGGCATGGTTTCATGTTCCTAAAATCTGAAGACATAGAAACTTTACATCCAGCTGAACTTCCCGTTCTCATAAAGGAACGAAATGAAAATTTGAGATCTGTGCTCACAGTGGACAGTCTATTCTTTCAGGTTCCAGGTGCCAACTGGTTTGTTAGAACCAGTCTCCCCAGGTGAAGGGAGCTATCTCCTATCTAGCAAACACTAAGGAACAATTTTGTGTAATTCAAAAAATTTCAGTGGAATCCCCACAGATGATATGTGGCAAAGATGGGGAGTAGTGAGAGAGAACAGAAAGAATGTGTGAATCATACAGGTGTGTGAGGAATGAGATTGGGGCTACCAGAGAAAAATGAAGACATCATTCTAGGTAGGCAGATTTGAGCCCAGAACACACAGTAGGTACCCATAGATGAATGAAGAGAAAGGCCCACTGGAGTGGAGGTGGGATGTTGGAATGGTAGGAAAACAGGTTATGTGAACACGTAGAGAAAGGCATTGGAAAAAACCACTGTGTATTTGTTGCTTTATTGAAGTGTTGATTGGTGAGGTAGATTTGTGAACTTTGAGAAAATGAGAGCCAGAAAAAGACATGGCAGCTCCATTTTAAAGCATTATAGCAAGGCATATTTTAAATAAGTTTGCATGTGTGTGTGTGTATAAAATAGTATTTTATATAGTCTATTTTTGAAATAGACTATTACATATACTATACATAATGTATATAATAGTCTGTTGTGTTTGAAAATGACACCAGTGATATAATCTACCACTAGGAAAAACTAGAATTAGACCTTTTCTTCTCGTTTTCTCTTTGAGAGAAGACCTTGTAGGAACCTTTGCCTCAGCATAGTATGTGGATTTAACCAATAATGAAGGAAGAATGCCTGTCGTTTTGCTAAAGATTTGGTTAGTTTAAAGTCACCATTCTTTCAGTTTATCCAAATTAGCTCCTGTCAAAACAAAACAAAAACAAACAAAAAAACATGGACGGTGCTTTATCCCCAACAATTTAATTTTACACCAAAGGCTATGAATAGATTTACTGCAGAGCACCCTTCCTTTGCTTGCCTGATTAATTGTAACTCCCCTAAGTGACTGCATCACTCCCAGTTCAGTTTCAGGGATTTCTGAGGGAATGAGAGTGAAAAGTTCCAGAGTATTCTCAAGTTGTATGTGAGCAGCCAAAAGCACTAGAGTTTTCTGTCAAGTATTAGAGGCAATTGGATTGGACAACTTTTTGTTGAGGGGGTGGAGAAAGGATCACTGAAAGATTTAACTTTTTATATTGATGATATTGATGGTTTCTCAGAATTACTATAAAAGGAAGTTATTTAATTTCTTTGGGTAATAAAAATCAAGGTATTTTATAATTCGTTTAAATGATGGAATGAATTATTTTGACTATGGAGTTTCTCTGGGATTACTGAAATACTAAATGCATGAAAAATTGGGAGTGCGCTGCATAAATTTACCTGATGTGACACCTCAGCAAATCTCACGCAATACCTGGCAGATCTGGCCAGTGGAGCAATAGGAATATGAGTGGTCCTGACATAGGTTTCGCTCTTCCTTGCTATCTAGCTGCTTACTTTCCTTCTGATCCTGAAGAAATGTAAAATTTGAGGTTTGGTTAAGAAGACTGTAGGGAGGTTTTTAACCATTTTAGAAGCAACTCATCCATCCTAATAAGGATATTGGTTTTATCAAAAGTAGTTTAGTACACTAATGTCTAACAATATCTTGGAAGCTCTTAAATGACATGAACCTGCTGAATTGTTTCTAAAAAAGCGTTCTTTGTGCCAGTGACCTTGAACTACAGATGAATAAGATGACATAAAGAGTATAAACTATGCCTACTCTGACCTAATATTTTTGCCTGTCTTAACAGAATACTTGGAGTAAATTATGTCTGAACCTCTAATCTCCCTAAATTAAAATTGTCTAAATTAAAATTGACTAAATTAAAAATGTCAGCACTATTGATGATATTTAATTATTATAAAATCCTTAGAAATTTAATGGGCTCAATATTTATGCTCAGTGTTCCATAATGATTAACGGTCTTCTGTTTTGAATTTCTCTAGGTCTGGCTCTTTTAGTGGCTACAGCATGGTATGGCAATAGAATTGTTCAAGAATTCTATGACCCCATGACCCCAGTCAATGCCAGGTAATGCTATTCACACGTACAATAGAGAAAGCACCCTTTTTATGTTCTGCAAAGTCCAGCGAGTACCACAGCTTCCCAGATTTGCTTTCTGGAATTTTATGTCAAACTTGAAAATAATCTGAATAGCCTGTGACTCATGTTAAAATGACTTGGATAAGTGCTTTAACAGCCTATATTGATGAAAGAACACACTTAAAGTAGAAACGTTTCAAGCTTTATACCTTGCAACTATGTGTTGGACACTTACTCTTGTGTGTGTGTGTGTGTTTTAAATGTTAATACAGATAATATATTTGGACTTGCCTTTTTTGAAGTATATTCTGACACAACACTTACTTGCAATTATTTATAACTAGCACACAGTTTACAATAGGAAAAAAATGGTACTACCGTAGGGGTGAAGGAATAATACTTCCTTCCCAAGTGTAACTTTATGAAAAATGTTTATTTATGAAAAAATAAATACTTTGAAATTGTACGTGCCATCACAACTATAAAATGGACTTTACGAAGGTCATCCTCTTTAATATGGCAAGTTGTGGATGGAAGTTACAGGGCTGAGTCCTGGCTCTCATGTAGAAACACTCTTTGATCAGGGACAAGGCTCTTTGTCTCACTGTGTTCATGTCTTTAAAGCCTAATGACTACACTCAGAGGCAGGACGTTAAGATGTAATTATCATTTGTCGAGTGCTGGGATGAATGGGTGAAAAATCACAGTGGTTGGCTAGATAAGGTGTGATTCTTTTTATACAATCTCCCACGTGTAGGAGAACACAGAGTGCATTGATTGTGTTGGAGTCCGTCCCATAAGATTTACAGTGTAAGGACAGAAACTGCTCGTGGTCAACAGACTAAACTTTTAGTAGTAATAGATGGGAAAGCACTTTATAAATTGCTAGGCACTGTATACTTGTTACTTACATTGTCTCATGTGATCCTGAAAGTAGTCGAGCGATGCAGATGGGATTGTCCTGTTTTAAGAGAAACAGAAACTGAGGTTGAGAGGTAAAATTACTAGCCAATAATTGCAGCAGTTGAGAGTGTGCATCAGGATCCAAACTCCAGCCTTAGAACGCTAGATCCAGTGTTCTCTGCCCTGATTGTCCACAGTCAGTCACAAAACCTCTTCCCAAGAGTCTGGCGTAATACATCCATCTGGATCAACTTAATCTACAGTGGTCCACGGGATGCTTAGAAGTCTTTTTTACAAAACCATTAATTTCAGATGTCAGTGTATATAGGTACCTAGAATCAACCATTAAAAACTCTAATAGTCTAACACTCTAGCTGTTTCTTTATAGAATATGGCTGCTTCTTGGCCATAACATGCCTTGTGAAGCTTTAGCCTAGGAACCATAGTCCAAACCTGACTTCTGAAGCACATAAACATGTTTTACAAGTCTCCTACACATGGAAAGGTCTTTGGAAATATTTGTGTAACTAACCTGGTATTGCATGCCGTGTTGCCTTATCTGCTATTGCAAATTGTCAACAACTGTAATGTAAACATTCTTGTGTGTGTTTCCAAACCTGAGAGTGCTTCCCCCGGGGATCGTGGGGGATTATTTTCAGTGGAATATGATACGGGTTTTTTCCATTAATTATATTAGAAAAATTCCCCGTGATTCATTGATTAAGCAACTGCATTGTCTTTTCTTTTTAGGTATGAATTTGGCCCAGCTCTCTTCACTGGCTGGGCTGCTGCTTCCCTCTGCCTTCTGGGAGGTGCTCTACTTTGCTGCTCCTGTCCCCGGGGAACAACATCTTACCCAACACCACGGCCCTATCCAAAACCTGCACCTTCCAGTGGGAAAGACTATGTTTGACACAGGAGCAAAAGGAGATAGCCCTGTTGGAACAAACAGAAAATGGACATTGAAATACTGTCATTGACTTTAAGACCTTGAACTTTGACTGTTGTCGTCTGAACTGTGGTATTACGAAAAACAAAAACAAAACAGAAAAACATTTTTTTAAATACCCGTTGCTAAAAACGACTTACTCTTATCTCCTTTCCTTAATATGGGAGGGAATCATTTTCCGCTTGTATTACTGTTTCCCACTGAGTAATTATCTCAAATGTGGGGAGAAAGAGCTCCTTAAATATAGATATGTATATATACATGTTTTTCTATAAAAAGTTAGATAGTAAAACCTCTTCTGTTGTCACCAGCATCCTTAAAATATATCTAAAAATATATATTTAAGCCTATATTGATTAAACAAGCAGCTTATTTAGTATGTCCCTTCTTTCTATATGTATACATATGGTATAGGTCAAATATCATTTACCGTCCTTCATCAGCTTCACTTTAGTGTCTTTGACAGAAGACCTAACCTACTAACTATACCAAGTACAAATTTCTTTAATTCTTCACATGTGCCCTTTGATATTCTTCTCTTATTATTTTTTTACCATGATTTTATAGCACTTGCTTTATCATCAGTCAGTCATTCTTCATACCTTTATTTGTTTTTTATTAGTTTGGGCTTACCTCTTGAATCTAATAACACATTTCATAAGCCTACTGTTTAATTTCTAAAATCAATAAGATTATCTTACAACTCCGAGCTTTGGGAGCAAATCATTCTGCATGACCAGAAAATGTATCCCCTTTGACCTTCCCACCTGATCTCTGTACCCTGACCTCTAACACTCTTGTTTGCTTTGAAAATATTTGTCTTGCTGAGTAGCTGCCTTCCCTAGTGTTGTAACACAATTCACTGAATTTTTAAGCTACTTATTTACAGCTGTAAATCTTCCTAAACTACCTTTTCTTACCCACGCCCTCCTCATCTATACTGTTTTTTCCTATGTAATTATCTTGTAGTTTACCTCTCCCCAGAGAGGTTTGGTCTGTTTGTCTGCATGAAGTGCTAGATTTTCTGCAGTGATAACCTGGTGACAAATATTCTCTCTGTAGCTGTAAGCAAGTCACTAATCTTTCTCCTCTTTTCCCATCTGTCAAATTGAGATAATGATGCTTAACTAGCTGGTGGAGGTGGTGTGAGTATTAATTAGTTGGTATTATACTCATTCTTTGAACATGAAATATGCATCACTAGTGTTTTTATTTGCCCAATTGGCTGTTTGGAAGTCATTGAACCAAACCTACACACACGTCTTCACCTTGTTCAGCACCTTCCTTTCTCCTCCAGTCCATTTCCTTTCTTTCAGCTGTGTCAAGCATGTTTTTGGGGCTCTGTTCCATTTTAATAATTGCTTTTCATTTGCTACTTCAATTGAACAAGATGATGTAATGAAAAGGGTGTTGGTGCTGGTGTCTGGAGACCTGATTGGTGCTATCAATTACTGCCTGAGCTTGGGCAAGGCACTTGGCTGGCCTAGATTTATTGTTTCATCTGTAAAAAGGGGATTGTAATTCTTGACCTGCCTACCTTGCAGGGCTTTTGTGGAAATTCAGTGAGATGGAATTTATGCAAATATGTTGTATAAGATGAAAAGTACCATAGTAGGGGAAAAAACTATGGAATTTAAGTGCATGGGTTTTGGATTACTATTCCAACAATTGAAAAGAGAGAAATTTTAAGAAATGTGTTTCTTGGCTTAACCAATCTCTCAAGTGATAACACACTACAGTGAAATTCAGCTTACTAAATGAAGAGGTCTCAAAGGAAGTCAGTTTCTTCCATCAGTATGGCCTGGTGCTTTTTGTGGGTAATTTTTTCTCCTTTTAGGAATACAGACTTGACCTAGGACAAGTCTGCACATATAATGGGTAAAACAGAAGTGTAAGTGTTGGAAAAGACAAAGTATGGAAGATTAATTTAAATTATGATAACTTGCAAGGGTACTCAAGATGTATATCTGTTAAGTGATGCTGTCAGAGGTATTGCTGTTAGCTAGCAGCTAACGCTGCTAGGAGAGTTTGAGAATGGTAATTCATAGTGAAACAATATGGAAAAAATATTGAAAAAGCTGTATGATTATTTAAACCTAGTAAATTTTAGTGTGTCTTCCAAATCTGAGTCTATGCTTCTAGAAGGTATAATTCAAAGTGCCTTTGCCACATACATAGATCCTAACGATGTGTGTATATAAATGCATGGGGTGATGAGTTGCTGAACTCTACAAAGAAATTGATCATCAAAATGACCAACAGAAGTATTACACCAGAATTTACTCAATTTTGATATTTTTGTACTCTGCTACTACACCTGGAAACAGACCCAATAGATACTTTGGGATTTTGTAATGGGACTTTGTATAAAGCAATATTCTTTTTCAATAAGTTGTTGGGGATTTTTTAATAAAAACATAACTCCCTGGCTTGTTTTTCTAATCATTATTTCAAGATTGCCATGCTTGGAAGAGAAGATGACTTGGGATATAATCTGACTCACTCTGTTCCTGGGTTAGAGCTCTGGTGCCTCTGGGCCATCTAGCACATACCTGAGTGACTCCACCTGCTAGAATGCCCTATTTCTCAAACTGAGCCCCCTCATTATTGTGACTTTTGATAGAAGAGAATGCCAGGAGAAGTTATTAGTTATATGATTTTCTTCATCCCTAAAAAGGGGCCATACTGCCATGAAGAACTAAGTGATAAAATAGCCAACTGGAAAGCACTGTGCAAGCTTCAATGGCTGCATTCCCCACAAGGTAGAAGAATGAAAGATGGTGGGCCAAAGATCCCTTAGTGTGCTTGTAATGATGATTGTCAAAACTACCTCTTAGAAAAGCAAGTGATGAAATGCACTCACTTGTTATCTGAAAATATCAGTTATTGATAAAGTCTTAATTATAACCTCTCCCTGTGCAATTTTCATACTGAAGAGACAGGCCTGTAAACAAAGGATTGCCACTCTTCGGACTCTCATGCATTAAACATGATGGGTGAGAGACCAAGGTTATTGTCAGATTGATTTAAACTCCCCTTAAATTAAGTAGACACACCGGAATCCTCACTCTTTCTACATAATTAAATCTCTAGAGTGGGGCCCATGCCAAAGAGGCCAGTGTAGGCAGAATGGATAAAGTTCGAAAGAGAGTAACAGGAGATGAAGTCATAAAAGGAAGGGGAATCTAAACAGTAGAGCATTGTGGGCCATTGTAAGGACTTCATCTTTTTTCTCACTAAAAGGCAAAGGTATTTTTAGGTTTTGAGCAGAGGAGGCAAGATCTAAATGATGTCATATGATCATTTTTATCAGTTGTGTTGAGAATAGACTATAAGAGGGCAAAGAGGAAAAGCAGTGCGTTCAGATAGAGGTTATCCCAGTAATCCTGGCAAGAGGTGGCTTGGTGATAGCAATGGGTGGTAAGAAGTTGTTAAATCTGGATATTATTTCAAAGTAGAGCCAACAGGTTTTGCTGATTAACTGGATGTGAAGTGTGAGATTTAAATAAAAGAGTCAAAGATGGCCAAGATTTGGGGCCTGAGAAATTAATGGGAGAAAACTACCAAAAATCGAGAAAGGGAAGAATGTAGGACAGCAGGCCTGGAAAAGAAAAATAATAGTTTCACTTTGGACATGTTAAGTTTAAGATGCTAATTCCACATCTAAGTAGAGATGCTCAGTAGGCAGTAAAGAAAAATAAAAGCAAGAGTGTAGAGAACTGGAATGAAGAAAGCATTTTAAAGAGACGAGAGTAATCAAACATCAGTTTTGCATGGTTTATCAATTTGAAAAAACATGCCCCAAACTTTGGGCATTTAAGTTGGTAGCTATATTAGGCTAAAAGGTCAAATAAGAGTGGGAAACAAACCTATTTGCCTATTATTTAATTTTTATTTTCCAAATTATTTATTCCACTATTCTCCTTAAGGGTATTCTCAAAGAAATTGGGCATATTAGAGTCTTAAGCCTACCCTAGATGTTAGTCCTGAGTTGGCTCTTTACTAGCTAGCTCTACATTTTAATTTTTACATTTTAATAATTTAATGTACCCAAAACCAAATGTGTCATTTTAGATATTCTCAGAAACAGGGCTCCAGGACAGAGTTAAAATTATAAGAGATGGGACACTACTGTCTATGAAAGAGAAAAGAAATATGTCATGAAACAAATTCACAGCCAACTTCCATTTTTATGTCTCATTGGGTAGAATGGTTTCCCATGGTCGCATTCAGCAGCAAATGAATTTGGGATGTTTTAGTTTCACAGATGGGCACATTACTGCCCATTAAAATCAGATTTTGCCTGCCTCATTAGCTCATGGTCTTGACCAACTTACTAATATCTCTCAGCCTCAGTAATAACATGTGTTCAACTTTGCTCACAGGGTTTTAGTGGAAGTCAAAGACATAATACATGTGAATGTCCTTTGTAAACAAAAAATACTGCATAAATATAAGGGATTAGGGTTCACAGGAATACTTATTTTAGTTAAATGAAAGCCTTTATCTTAACAATTTTAAATGCACAGCTCATTGGGTAGGGTCCTTGCCCTGATTTCAGATATCAGTCAACCACAATGTACATCTTCCAGTATAATATATGGACTCAGTATTGAGAGTTTCATGTTACAGAATTAACGAACCAGGTGGCACAATACATCATATAGACAAGCAAAAATCTTGATGATATGACTTTCAAAAATAATAAAATATTAAAAAGTATATATAATAATAATAATGTCTAGTAAAGCCACTTTACTGTTTTACTTCTTCATGAGATGTTGGACACAAAGCAGTGTTATGGAAACATCAGTAAAACTACCATCTCTTCAGTTCAACATTTATTTAGGATTTACTATGTGCCAAATTCCGATCCAAACACAATTTTGTATAGAGAGGTGGGTAAGACATAATTGATGCCTCAGAGCCACTTTGTTTCAACAACCCAGTGCCACCATTCTCACTGTGGTCTGCATGTACAATGCTCCCTAGGGCAGCGGTTCTCAACCTTCCTAATGCCGTGACCCCTTAATACAGTTCCTCATGTTGTGGTGACCCCCAACCATAAAATTATTTCGTTGCTACTCTATAACTGTAATTTTGCTACTGTTATGAATC